CCCCCACCCCCAAACCCAAAAAACAAAAAAAAAAAACATGAACCACAATTTTCATTGAAAAAGATATCCCCTACGCAATTTTATCCAACCTAAGTGAAATCCGTAAGGGGGGTTTTATGAAAGTTGAAACGGGTTTTTTGATAACCCTGAAACTTAAGGGGGGTTTTCTGAAATTATGAAATTCGTGAAGGGTTATCTGATAATTGATAATTGTCCAAACTTAAGGGGCATTCTCTGAAATTTAGCCAAATTGATATGCATATGAAGGTGATTGTAATGAAAAACTGGTAACATAAAGGGAATCAAATTACTAGCTTTACTAAAGCATTGACTCTTGTCATGTATGGTAATAGAGGATATGAGGGATCAGTATGTATTATGTGTATTACGAGGGATTGTTACGTAAATTCTCGTAGCTATATATATACAACACAGAGCCCTCACCAAGGATGTGATGCCCAGTTTATTCCAAACATCTTCATGGTATCAGCGCCTTTGAAAAACCCTCGCCGAGTTCTCAACACCGACTTCTGAAAACCCTAGCCGACTTCTCAACGTCGACTTCTCTGAGCATCCATATTGAAGTCATAGTTCCCTCTCTATTATAACTCGCTCGTCCTCAACAACAAAGTCCCTCGGAAACCCTTATCCAAGTTTCCTCCTCATCCTCAACATCCAACTATCGAGATCCTCAAGATGTGAACTTCTTCGACAACTGTGCCGATGATTACTTCGATGCCTGCAGTAATCTCAGCATCTTTTGTCACTGCGGCACCCTCTCTGCTGTTTGCTTCATCTCAACAACGAAAATCTCATCACCACACACATCTCTGGACATGAAAACAGCCGTCACGTCCCCATTGAGCGAACCCCTGACACCAACCCTTCCTCAACAGTCGTTGTCATCCTTCACCCTCGACTTGCCTCTGTCGCTGCCCTTACCACTTTCCACACAAGTGACATTACCAATTCCTCCATTGTCCATATTGTTGCCCTTAATGCCACAATCAATTCAATCAGTTCCAACAGCAGCGCATCCTCTCAATCAACAATTCTTTGCTGCACCCTCGTGGCCATAGTCCGCTCCTACGATTTCTTCTCTAAATTCATTGGGCATCGATCAAATTGCCTCGGGTCTACATGGACTCAACCTATCTGGGAGTTCGAACGTCGATGCAATGAACACAGGAGCACCCCTTTCCTCTTCCACTTATGTTCCCTCAGCACTGGCCACTCCTAACGTGACAAATTTAGTCAGTGTAGAATTGTTTGCAGTCAAAGATTACTTGACATGGAAGACCCAATTCACCGCACAGTTAATCTCTCACAACCTGTTAAGTTTCGTTGATGGGTCATTTCCTCCATCGCCTGTGTGTTGGCACCACCACAACTTGGCAACTTAGTCCACAGTTCATCGCTTGGCTTCATGTGGATCGAAGTCGCCACTCCTGGCTCTTTGCTACTCTCTCACGAGAAATTTTAGCTGAAGATCACGAACTTGCACTCTTATCAGATGTGGGACCACCTTCAGAATATACTCTTAACTAATAGCCTTTCTTGTGTCGTGGAGCTGAAAAGAATGACAACTACAATGAAGATGGAAAACACTCCATGGAGATTTACTTGGGTGAGATTAAGGTGATAGAGGACTCTCTAGCAGTGATAAACTCCCTGTTGAGTGATCAGGATAGTGACTATGAATCTTTAGTCACTATGGTTACTTACTTTGATGGTATGATCACCTTCAACAATCTTCAGTCCAAACTGATCTTGCACGAACAAAGGATTCATCATCTAAAGGGAACAGACTCAGATGTTTCACTGCATCAGGCCTTGGTTGCTGGGACATCCACAAGAGGCTCGGACACTTAGTCGACACCTGGTGAACCCGTGGCCTGGCTGTGGGTCGAGCTCTTCTTCCCTAGCTGGTGGTGGCCACGGTTAGTGGCGTCGCGAACGAGATCGTAAGGCAGAGGGCAACAATAGAGCCCAAGGAGGTGGATCTGGTTCTCAGTTTCAGCATAATAATCAGCAATATTGGGCTTCGAACTGAGGTGGGATGAATCAACAAATGGTAATATCACCTCTTCATGTTTAGATATTTTACATGCACCTATTACTTCATATTCTATGAAGTTGCCTAACAATTCATCCACTAATGGAATTTTGGGATCTTATCTACAACTAGTTGTCTGTGAACTTTATTTTTCTCCAGGTCACTCTGCACCTTCCTGTCCTCTATTCTTTCCTCCTAGTGGTGCACCCAACACAAAACAACCACTCCATTATTTGCTGCTATATCAACTGATGATGCGAACAAAGCCCTGTGGTATCCTCACTCCGCTGCATCCTGTCGTATAACACCGTCTAAAGGTATATCATCTTATCCTTTACTTACACCGGTCAAAATCGGGTGCTACTAGGAAACGGTAATCTTTTGCAAATTGCTAGCCTTGATGATGTGCACGTAAATTCCTCTGCCAAACCACTTAATTTAAAATCTGTTTATCATGTAACTAAATTGAAACACAGTCACATTTCTGGTCAAAGGCTGCTATGAGACCTAAATCGCTAAAGGTGACGAGGCAAAGATTACTTGTGTCACCCGATATGCTGCCTTCGAGTTTCTGGTGATGCCTTTTGGCCACCCCAGCAACATTTTGCACCCTGATGAAATTACCTCAAGATAATAACTGCACTGTTAATTTTGACTCTTCTTATATGCATGTTAAGAACAAAACAATGGGGAAGGTCCTTCTTCAGAGTACCAGAAGGAATAGTGTCTATCCTCTTTATCCCAGTGTTCAATCTTTAACTGTTCCAACCTTGTCACTTTACGAGACTCTACATAATTGACATCGTTGTTTAGGCCAATATGAACTTGAAAAATCTCATAGTTTACCATTCATTGATATTGCACACAATTTTACTACTGCTTTATATTTGATTCATTTTGATGTGTGGAAATCACCTGTGTTATTAAATCTTAGATATCGGTATTATGTTTGTTTTGTGGATGACTGTACTCGATTTACATGGTTGTATCCTATGAAGTACAAATATGACATTTTTCAACATTTTCGCAATTTTCAAATTTTAGTCGAAAATTTATTCAAGCACAAGATAATAATGTTTCAAAGTTATAGGGGAAAAGAAATTGACAACCAATTGCTAAAATAACATTCTTTTGATTGTGGTATCTATTTTCACAAATCTTGTCCACATACACCCCAATAGAATGGCGTTGCGAGGGAAAGCATCAACACATTATTGAGATGGCATTGCGGACTTGACGAGGTTCGTTGAAGACGTAGGCGAAGGTCGTTGCGAACGTGGGCGCGCCTTTTTTGAAAGTGGATGACTTGGTCCACTTGACGTGGACGAAGTTCATTGGTTGGCGAGCTTCGCCTATGAGTTCAAATTTGACATAGAATTCGACTCTAGGCTTTGCCAACCAATGACGTCTTTTGACTCGGCCTGGGACGTGACGTGTGAGTCGACTCGTGTTTTGACTTGGTTGGATCGAGTCGACGTGGGCTACTTGGCGAGGTTCGCTTTAGTCATCAGGCAACCTTCGCTGTAGCTTGTTATGTGCTTGACTTTAGGCTCATTCGAAGTGTTTAGCCCATGGGCGTTCAGTTCTTGGATCCAAGCTGATCATCGTCCTTAGTAAAAATACATTTTGATCATTTACAAGACCCCTTAAAATTTTTAAGATCTTGCATTTCAATTTGTAGCTAGGATTAAAATACTTTGTGTAAATAGCCAGAGGGATCGGTTGTGATGATGATCTTTAACAATCATATCTTCAGAAGTGAAAGTGATAGAAGGAATTTGCCGCTAGCAATGATAGCACTGCTTGTTTTTTTCATCTTGGGGATGTTCGGTCATGTGGGCAAGAAATACCTCACTGTCATTGAGATCCTCCTTCAAAGCTTTTCTCATGTTCTTAGACAAACATAAGAGTTCGAATAAGGTTATATGAGATAGAATATTGACTAGTTGAGCCATGATATTGTATTTGAATAGAGCATTAGGGTCACTTGGAGGACGTTGTAAGGCTTTATCGAACCGAGTCTCCTTTTGTTTGGCCGATTCGGGTTGTTTGGATATTCCCAGCTGATTGTAATCCCTTAGGTAATCTTTGTCAGATCTCGTTCCTATCATAGCCACTTTCTTTCCATCTGAGTCGGTGA